CCGGGGCCGCACTCCCGGCCCTGCAGCCCAGGGGACGCGTTCCCGCCAGCGCCAGGCACCGGGAGGAAACCAAACCCCCCAGGCACAAGTAAACAGAAGTTACTTGTAAAGACCAACTGACGTATTTCGATTTCAGAACAATAAATATTTCTCTTCCCAGAGGCTGTGAAGCTGGGACGTGTCCTGCTCTGCCACGTCTCCCCTCAGGCAGCCAGGGCCCAGCCAGGGCCCACACCTCCCGTCCCACCAGCCAGCAGAGCACTGCAGAAACACCTTCTGCAAGTTTAAACAGACCCCTAACAGTGGCTGAGTTATTTGACTTCTAAGTAAGCTAATTAGTCTACTTCCTAAAGCTGATAAGGATCATCTTCAAACTTTTAAAAGATACAAGTTTTATAACAAACAACTCACACTTTTTGTTCCTGTTGCTATTGTTTGCACAGTGCAGGTAACTTCCACAGGCAAGGGCAGTATTATATCCTCCCAGACAGAGAGCTAAGTTACAGGTAACTTCTCACACAACAAATTTGATACAAATAAAGGTTTTTAGTGAGACTTCATAAAATTAACATTCCTGAATTCATCAGCTATAGGGGAAGGGCAGATAGTCTTGCAAGCCCCATAATGAGGTTCTGGGGAACAAAAATGAACCTCTGGTAGTTCTGTACCACAAAAAGCAGTCAAGAAACTTTACTTTGGCCTTCTCTTTTTTCAGTCTTGAATTTTCTGTATGAAAGAACGATGCAGAGACACAACACCAGTTTTAAACCCCACCACTTCTTTCTTAAGAGACAGTAAAAAGCAGAGCACAAGGGTTCTTTTTCTGAAGGCAAGGCATTTAATAAATTAGTGAACAAACTGCTTCAAATGATGATACATTTTCACAGATAGAAGTACAACTATTTTTTGGAAAAGAATGGCAAATTTGGTTGCTCCTCAGCACACATAGTTTACATACACCAAGAGGTGAATACTCATTTGGCCATAGATGATGCTAGCTCAAGTAGGATTTGCTTGTGTCTCCACGTCGTCATCATCGTCAACGACCTGAAATCAAATCCAGAAGTAGCTCAGGGAACAGTTTAAACCCTGTCCCACAGGACTGCACAGAGGACTCAGCACATTGAATCCTTGCTGGACTCAAGGAGGGCAGCAGTTATTCCACAGTGCTGAATGTCAGGGGGCACATGAAGGTAAGAAAAACTTGTGAGGAAACGTGGCTGAAATAATAAAGTCATAGAATCATTCTGGTTGGAAATGACCTTCAAGATCATCATGTCCAACCACTAACAGAAGCTGCTTAAGTTATTACAAAGGCCATTAGAACAATCACTACAGCATGTCAGATTTTTAACGAGAAAGCAAAGGAATCTGCATTTCAGGGGACAGAGGCTTGACCCTTACCACACAAAGCACAAAGGCAACAACCACTGGCAAACAAAGAGTGTCCAGCTGTGGGCTCCTCAGCAGAAGAGTGACACGGGCAGGCTGGAGAGAGTCCCAGGAAGGATCACCTCCCTCAGCCTGCTCCCAGTGCAGCCTGGGGCACTGCCATCACCTTGGCCATGAAGGCAGCTGCTGGCACCCACCAGGACCCCAGGCGCCCTTCAGCACAGCATTCTGGTGCACTGGGCCATACAGGACTTGGCAGAGTTCTGTACCTTCTGCTAAGATACAGGTGCTGTCTTGGAAAAACTGCATCTAGACATCCTGTGCCTAATTGCCTGGTTTAAATTGCCAACCTGCCCATGCTGGAAGGGGACAAAGCTCTCCATGCAAAAGGGAGCAGCCGTGCTCTCCCACCAACCCACCTGTTCCACGCCTTCCACCTCAGGGATGTAGAACTGGAGCATGTTCTGTATCCCGTTCTTCAGGGTGATGATGGAACTGGGACAGCTGGTGCAGGAGCCCTGCAACTTCAGCTGCACAATCCCATCCTCAAAGCCTTTATAAATAACATCCCCACCGTCTTCCTGCACGGTCGGCCTGGTGGAACACAACACTCCATTAAAGCAAGCACAGCTGAGATACGTTTCCTTCCAGAAATCCCCAGTAAAGCTCAATTTAATGCAAACCAAAGAGCCAGCAGGACATAGCAACTGAAGCCCTCTTTCTCCACAGCCATGTAGGTTGAAGTCTCCAACAACTCCCACCTTGCTGGACTCTCACACTGACAGGTACTGCTTTCCCACAGGGCATTAAGCAAAACATGTTTGTAATGAATACAGCAGCACAGGAAGGAATCATTGAAATTCTGGGGGTGGGCACAGGCACCTCAGAGCAGAGCTTGATTCAGCCTGCACACTGACTCCTTTGCCTCGAGGCCCTGTCTAGTGTTGGGATGACTGTCTCCACTGTGTGCTGACAGTGATAGCTGTGTCCCCCCACAGGGAGCCTGTGTCTCCTCACCAGGGACACTGATACCAAGTCCTGAAGTGTTTCCCTAAAGGAACATGCAGTTCACCATAGCTTACACCTCCAACTGTAAAAGCTCAATCCTGCTAATGGGAGGAGAAAGCAGCATCTGGTAAGATCACATCCCAGACCATTAGCATTTCTGCAGCCTGGTCTCCTGTGCCAGCACAAATGCCCAGCATTGTAACTGTATCCCCATAGCAACATTTTTCAGGACTAAGCTAAAACCATCAAGTTACTCTAACAGAAGTTCTTTATCCTGATTTCCAAAATAACTCTTTGAGAGCTACACTCCTAAGAGAATAATCTATGAATCTGACACATTCATTAACAACTCACCATAGCAAATTATCTCCATTCCAGGAAGCCAAAGAACATGAGCAGAAATTCCATCTTTCTTCTTTGAGATTAACTGTAACACACTACAGGGCCTTTCAGATCTACATTCCTTCCACCCTGCACCTTCTGACTTCTTTTGCAGGTATTTTTAATCGACTGAACAATCAATGCTCTGTGGGCATCACTAGTTTATATACAGCTTCTGTGACCTATCCTGCTGTGAAAGGCAGCAAGGTTCACCACTGCTCACGTTCTCATGAACAGCTTCTTGGCCTACTGAGGGCTACAGGGGAAAGGAGAGAGAGGAAAAGGTGGGAAAAACCAGAAATCTGGGCAGGAGCTCTGTGACTGTTACAAAAGGCTCCTGGGGAAGCGAGGGCTAACACACCAGAGGAGCTTCAGTGCCCAGACAGGCAGCCAGAGCAGGGCCTCCTGAGCCTCTCCTCCTGTCCTGGCCTTGCACAGCACAACACTTGGGCTACACATGTCACACCTGCTACACAGGCTGAGGAAAAATGTTCCAGCTTATTTCTGCTTTTCTACCTCTTTCCTTTCAGGAAAATTAACCAGTACCCTGTGGCAGCTTAGAGATAACCAAAGTGGTATTTTTAAATATCACTTTTCAAATGCCACTTTTAAAATAACAAAATTAAAATGCCCAGGTTCATCAGAACCTGGCTCCTAAAATTTGTTAGCTGGGGAAGATGTCATCATCAGATACCACAGCTTCAGGAACACACTAGACATTTTCCCCTGCATCTACAATGGCCAGTTGCTTTTCCCTTTCAGCTCGCTTTGGAAGGCAATTAACGAGCACAAGAATATACTTCAGGTAAACAACATGATCCACAGCCCCTCCTGAGACTTCATGAGGTACCAGCAGTTTCTGAACTCAGGCTGTGATAAAATACCAATAAATTGCAACAGAATGCAGGGACAAAAACCACTGAATCCATGCAAGGGAAGGGAACACACTAGTACATTTTACTTTAGAGTATCACACAAGAGTCTAAACTACTTTGGAATACTTGGCAAGGAAGGACTACTACAACTAAGACAACAGAGGAAAAAATAGTTACTGTAAAAGCCAAGTGTTGCTTTCACTGTTTTAAAATAGCCAGGTGAAACTCAAGAGAGCTGTTTAAACACATGCTGGTGGGTAAGACCCTGCGCTGTGGAAACCACTCAGCAAGGACTCTGTTCAGCACATGCTTTGCTTAAACAGGAAAACTAGATAGAAAGTTTTCAACTACAGGCAAACAGCATTCTCAGCTCTGGCCAGTTCTGCACTTTAAACCCCCACGCCACATATGGAACCATGAAATCACACATCCCCAAAGAAAAATGCACTGCTCCCTAAATAAAGCCAAGCACCCAGACTGACTCTCTCCCTCAGGCAGCCACGGCCCCATTTACCTTATCCTTGTATCCAGCAGTTCTTTAATCATCAGCACAACTTCATCATCTTCCTCTGATGCAGCTTGGGAAGAGAAAAATGTGCAAATCAGAACTTGGAGAATTGTGATGTGATTACTCACACTGTATATGCATAAGGGCAGAATGAAATAGCAGAAAAACACTGCTGAGGGAACTGAAACCAAAAGTCTTGATTCAGAGTGAGTATCTTTTTCTGCATTATCATATTTACATCCCAGGCTCTTGCCAACAAACCCAGCCTTGGTTCAGAGCCCTTCTCACCAGGGAAAGGCCTTAACAAACAACAGCAGTGCCACCAACAACTAACACTCAATAAGGCTGCATGGGTCAAGGGCAGGGTCCTCAGAAGGAAAAGTTTTAGCAGCCTAAAAAAATTCAGCAGAACAATTTTGACTATCTGGGTTCAGCAGATGCAGTTTTAGTCTAGCAGAGGCATTTTTAAAGACAACTTTAACAAATACAATAAAGTCCATGTTAATATTGAAATGAAATCCAGGCACAATAGAGCAGAGAGGAATTAAACAGTTGTAATATTCCTTAAAACACATGAAAAATCGTTTTAAGTTGGGAAGTTGCAAATGAGAAAAAAGACAAAATACTCCCCCCTTGAGCTAAACTGTAAGTTATCTCAGCCACTTTTTAGAACAATTTGGAGAAGACTTCTTCAGATCATAGGGTTATTAAGGTTGGGAAAGACCTCTCAAGACACCAAGTCCACCCATCACCCAACACTCCCATGACCACTAAACCATGCCCCCAGGTGTCACACCTACACGTTTTTTGAAGCCCTCCAGGGCTGGGGACTCCAGCACCTCCCTGGGCAGCCTGGGCCAAGGCCTCAGCACTCTGGCAGGAAAGAAATTCTGCCAAATATTCAGTCAAAGACCTCCCCTGGTGCAACTTCAGCCC